GTGTATATGAAATGAAAATTTCTATATCGGTTTTTTTGCATTTTCTGAAAATTTGGTCTTTTCTGATCAGAAAAATACCAACCTTGTTGAAAAATTCGAACCAGAAGTTTGTTAATTTTACGATTAAAGTTCGATTTTGAGACTGTCTACTGGCGAAATTCCTGACATTCCATTGCGCGGCAGTGACGTATGCAGTGTGACACATTGCGATCTTTCGATATGTAAACACTATGAAAATTATAGCTTTGTCAGTGTAGAATTGGGTTTTTGAGAGATTTTGAAGAAAATTCAAACAAATCCACTTTCTGTAGACATTGCTTTCAATGTATAGATACAATATAATTACAACATGACGAGTGGTAGCGTATAAGTGGTAGCGTATAAGCGGCCGAAAATACAAATTCTATGAGACAAGAGACTATGTCTACGTTGTAGGTTTCAGACCATATATTATGTAGAAGCTATAGCTGATATTAATTATGGCAAACATTGTAGTATAAACTAGTGTAAGCATAACATGAAAATTAATACTAAATATCTACATTTACTGACATCATGCCAAAACATGACCATTCCAAAACAAATAAATTTTGAATTGCATATATAGTGTGATAAAATACGATAGAGTATTAAAAAAGGACTTTAATATAGCTGCTTCTAATGATGGGCTCTACTTCATTATAATAATATAATTTACGTTCACTCACAACCGTTCGTTAAGTTCACATTGAGAATCTATTACATCTAGTTGCGTGTTTTTGTACACGAAATAGACCAGAATTTGATTAGCATTTATATCGCCTCTAGAAAACCTCAGCAAGAAATGTGTGCATGTTTTGCCCAACAGACATAGCGTGTCTACCGACGTCACAAAACTCACACCAGCACTCGCACGCAATCTTGTTTGCATCTGTACTATCTAACCCTATGAAGAAGTGCAGTTACTATGCATTTACTATGCATGCTGGAAGTGGTCTGGAATTCTCCCATCCCAGCATGCCAAATGCCCATCTGACTATCCAACAATATGCTACTGCTCGAAGATATCACAGTCTGTGATGACTTCAACATTATGTATGCTGTGACTAACTGACTATGTATTAATCTTGAACAAACAAACCGTATAAAACGCATCAAACAAAGCACAACACATACGACTATCACACACTTTTTGCTATTACTTGATATTTTTAAATCGTTTTTTAATCGATACTAAACTTCATACTAGCTCGATGAAGTATAAATGTACCAAGTCGAATAACAGGAAATGCTTCCCCAGCTAACACACAACGTAATCACAACGTTGGTAGAAGGTAGTAGGAATGTCAGGTCGGACCTAACTTTATCACGACATTCATACAACGTTGTTTATGTTCTTGAGAATATAAATTCGTCTGACAAACGTTGTAGCGACGTTGAAATTCGACGTGCGCACAAGACGTTCAGCCAACGAGTCTACAATGTCATGTTTTGACGTTAATGCAACGTTACAAAGTAACATTCTGCACGGACATTTATACCACGTCTGTGCAACGTTAGAGTTTAACCGTGGTTCAACGTTACAACATGACATGCCAACAACGTCTGTGCAATGTTATATTTTACGTTGATGCAACGTTTCTTTGTGGCGAGCTAAACGTATGCTGAAACATTGCAACAACGTTTGCACAACGTTATATTTTACGCATAAAGCAACGTTACAGCATGACATTCTATCATCGTGTGCGCAATGTTAAATTTTTACATTGAAGTAACGTTTCTTTAAGTGTCGAAACAAGCGTACGGTGGAACATTCCAGCGACGTTTTCGCAACGTTAAGCTATGCACATTTTCACATATGAGTATTATAAATTTATAACGTTGAATCTCTATAATTATATTATTATTCAATTATAGACTTGAAGTCGGGGCGAATTAATACTAAATATTCGACAATAATAATTGTGATATATATATATATATATATATAAAAGCCGATAAATTGGACCTAATAGCTAACTCAACCGCGAAGAAAAATTGATGTGACGAATGCCAACTAGAAAGGGTTGAAAAGAGCGTCAGACTTTCTAGTAATTAATAGCGTCGAGCTCACCCAGAGCTCTGAATGCTATTAATTACTAAAGAGCGTATGAGGCTGGTCAGGATATATATGAGGGCAATCAGAGGAGGGGGATATAATTTACTGTCTGCATGACGCGTTCGAGTAACATTTTTTATCGTCCAAGCATCACGCCTGTCAAAGGTTACATTTTAACGTTGAAACAACGTTACATCGTCACATCTTTTATCTTTTTACCCCAGGGCATCTCATAACAATTCATAACGCCTGAGCGAAGGTTAGATATTAATGGTAAACCAATCCGAGCAAACCCTGTAGAACGCCGGGCGCTGATTGGCTGAGCTAATGCTGTGCGCGATATGTGTTTTGACTGTTTTCTCGTCTCGCCGTCTCGGGTTTCACTTTACCTCGCCAGTCGTCGACCGCATTTATATTGGTGTACTTTCGGACAATCTGGTTTCAGTTTTTTTGCAATTCTTTGTGATATTTGCGAGTTTCATCATTTTCATGTAAGTATAAATACTACGTGTATCTGTTTCGTTTTTAATGTGGTAGTTACTGGGGCTAAAACTTGTGTTTATAGTCGATATTACGCGGCGTCAATTTCAGTATAAATTTTGTTGATTTTAACAGCTTGCAAGTCCTTTACGAAGTTTGGATCCGTAGTCGCAGATTTCCCTTCACCTGACACAGAAATTAGCGATTGTAATGTAAGTGTTGATATTACAACTGTTATATATAGTTATATCAGGGTATATTACACAGTTATACTACATTTAATATTTATATTCTATATGTGCTTCAACCGCATCGAAGATTCAAATATCTATAGTATTCTGAATCTTTGTTCGTTTGCCGGTTTGCGCTCGACAATCGTAACCAGGTCATCTTTCTCGTTCACTAGGGGTATGTTTTGGACAGGTTTTTAAAATACATACATGCTAGTTTAATGTATAAAAGTATTACCATATCTTGCGAGGAAGCAGGACGTCGGTTGTTGCTTTGACTCAAGATCAAAGATGGCCGCCACAAGTCCTTCGCTTAAGTTAATTAATAGCGTTATAAAAATATTCAAAAAAGAAAATCTTGATCATGATCTATACAAATTAATTTTAAGTCAGACCTGGAAAATTTAAGTTTGATTTGCTTAATAACAAATTCATACCCAAGCATATACACTTGCATCAGCTAAGACAGTGAGAGTGACCACAATTATTTATGGCAAATTATGCAAAAATATAAATGTTTGACACACAGGAAAATATATTAAAATCGCAACAGACCAAAAAGGAGGGTTTTAAGAAGTAATGGACACTCGAAAATAGAGAAATCAAGTCCAAAAATACAGATGATCTACATCAAACTAGGATTGAAATGGATTGCAATAACAAAAATAGTGAATATCACATTATATTGTCATTAACATTTACAACTTGTCATATTCTCAAATTTTTCATTATTTTTATTTCATATTCGTGTAACTTCAATTTAAACTTCTATCTCTAAGTTTACAGCTGAAAACGTCTGAAACAAAGAGCCTCTCGAACCAGGGTATCTTTTAATAGGACGGTGGAAATATTTACATACCATTGGCTTTTCCCACCCTGGGGACCCCGGCCAATAGTAGGCCTGTGTAAAACTAGTTTATAATGTCACGCTACTTCCCATCCCATAGGATGTACATTATTTTGCAAATTAAGTCCCTGCTCCCATACCTTGTTGTCTCTACAGGCCTGCAAATTAGTGTTGGCCATCAGACATTGTCCGGTCAAATTTTACTTTTTGTCCGATCAAAGTTTTTTATGATCGGACATATGTGACTGACAGATTTAGGCTGGTCAAATCTCCAATCTCAAAAAATTGATTTTGAACACAATTTCATTAATGAAACCAAAGCAATATAAACAACAATGTTTCATTATTTTTTGGCTGCATATTTAAGTCGTAAGATTTAATTACAAATATAAATTTTCTTCTTATAACTCTTATAAGATGGTAGAAATTAAGGTTGTGTATGAGGTGAACCATTATTTACTGAAGATGCAGTAGGACTTGTAGATTTATACTCAGTTTTAGATGCACTGCAGTGCAGATAATCATGACCAGCCGAAATACATTGTGCTAATATGAAAAAGACCATGAAAAATTTTCCTTCCTCCATTGTCCGAGAAAAACCGATAAATGGCCGACCACTTTTTGTCTTGATCGGACATCTGACCTTCCAAGCAAAATAATTGTTTGCAAGCTTGTTCTATAATCATATATACATGTAAAAGGAAAGTTTGAAACAATAGAAAACATTGTTTCTAATTAAAGTTGCTTCATTTCCCCTGTTGTTGAGGGAATTGACAGCGTAAAGTTTCAAATTTCCCTTGTGTCTTGGGTAAAAATTACATTCAAAGTCCCTACAAAGTTATCAAATTGCCCCTGCCACAGCTCGCAGTCCTGAGGGTGGGGAAAGCTGATGACATACATGAAATACTGTAGCAGGGGTTTATACAGTATACTGTACACTCTATACAGCGAAAAATGCAACTTCAGTCCTCCAGCAGGAATTGAACGTACAGTGTGCCCCTGCGATTCAGGTGCAGTACTCTCACCACTAAGCTACAGAGTGGTAGCCTTGTACCCAGACGCTATTAAAAGAAATTGTGATAAGCATATAGGGGTGCTTGGTGAGTAAACAAGGAACTTTGAGCCTGGGAGATCTTGTCATTGACCCCAGCGCACCAGGGCTTAGTAGAATCTCAAACACATTTTATTTCTCAAGTGTGGCACATCATCACAAAACATTTTTCAATTTGATGCAAATATTTCATGAGTACAACACTGCAGGTCTATGTAGTTAATGCTACAGTAGGAAACTAGAAAAAACCTAAAAATACATATAAATTAAACAAATAATTTTCTTGCACAACTGTTATTTGTTGTAGCATTGACAATGAAAGCAAATAAGCAAGCACAGTATAGGAGAAACTGGGCAGCTGCAGATCGGACTTTGAGACAAGCTGACTGTGATACCGCACCTGCTGAACAAGAGGACAGTACGGAGTTGGTGGAACTTTCTTTTAATTCATCACCGCCGAACAGTGACACTGCATCTGAACCAGACATTCTGGAGCCTGTTCCAAAACATGAGCGTACCTGTTCTGATCAAAACTGTTCAAGTACTCATAATAGCATTGACTTAGATGAGATAAGGCCTGATCGCTATAGCTCTTCTTCTTCTGACTCTGAAGATGATGATGTTCTTGCTAAAGGTTTAGGAAACTGGGCCAACAAGTTTCTTATCAAACACAATGCACTAGACGGTCTACTTGTTCTTCTTAAGGAGAATGGTCATCCAAATTTGCCCATTACTGCACGTACCTTGCTGCAAACAGAAAGGAATATTACCATTCAGAAAAAATCTGGAATGGAGTATGTTTATTTTCCACTAGCTGGTCAGTTGTTGAAGCACTTACAAAAATACCCTCCAGATGTTGTTGGTAGGACAAACTCTCTAGAGATTTCACTGAATGTGGATGGTCTCCCATTGTTCAAGAGTTCCAGCACATCTTTATGGCCAGTGTTATGTGCCATTGTTAATGTCAAACCTGTGGTAGTTTTCCCTGTTGTGCTAACTTATGGTCACTCAAAACCTAAGGATTTGGAATTTTTGGAAGAACTTATTGGGGATTTAGATAATGTTCTGGAGAATGGGCTGCAATGTGGTGGTCGGTTAGTTGAAGTTACTTTGAGATGTGTTGTTTGTGATGCTCCTGCAAGAGCTCTTGTAAAAGGCACAAAGTTGTGCTCGGGTTATTTTGGGTGCGACAAATGTGCACAAAAGGGCTTGTGGATTGGAAGAGTGACATATCCTCTGGTGAAGGATATTGAATTGCGTACAGATCTTTCCTTTAGAGAAAAGGTTAATGAAGGACATCATCACGGTACAAGTCCATTTTGTAATCTGCCAGTCGATATGGTTAAAAAATTTCCAATTGACTACATGCATCAACTGTGTTTAGGAGTCATGAGGAAATTAATTTTGACCTGGATGCGAGGAAAACGTGAAGTAAAAATATCAGCTGGTCAAGTGGAAACCATTGGTAGTAAATTGTTAGATCTTAAGTCTTGCATACCTAATACATTTGCACGAGAGCCAAGGGGTTTAGCTGATGTTGACCGGTGGAAGGCAACTGAATTTAGACAGTTTCTGTTATACACTGGTAAGATTGTTTTAAATGGCATCCTAAGACAAGAGCAATTTGAACACTTTTTGTGTCTTAGTGTTGCTAGTTGTATTTTGGTGTGCCCTAGGTTAGCCCAGTCGTATAGAGACTATGCTAAACAACTAATGGAATACTTTGTGGAGCAGGGGAAGATTTTATATGGTGACGAGTTTTTGGTATACAATGTGCACAGCATGGTTCATTTGGCTGATGAGGTGAAAGAGTTTGGTAGCTTGGATGCATGTAGTTCCTTCCCATTCGAGAATTACATGCAAAAGTTAAAAAGACTTGTACGGTCGGGAAATAATCCTATTGCACAGGTTGCAAAACGGATGAGTGAGTGTTCTGGTGTCATTGAACCTATTCCTGAAGCTACAATCAGCATGAAGAAACCAGACAATGCATTTCTTTTAACTGATTCATCTTGTTGTGAAGTTGTGGATAAATCGGGCAACCTTGATGGGGATTATAATTACTAGACTATACACTCAGAGTAACATCACAAGCAACAATTGTGATATTACTTCCTTAACTGTGTTTATCTTAACCCACCCTGTCAACCTTCCTTGTGGGAGGAAACTGGAGCACCTGGAGGAAACCCATGATTTTCAGCAGAGCGTTGACTAACTCTTTTCACACGAGTCTGTAGCAAGAATCGAACCTACAAACTCAGAGGTGAAAGGCGCTTGCTCTGACGACTGCGCCACTGCCTTCAACAGTATTACAAACAAAATAGTCGGTTGCCGGACATCTGCATGAATAACAAAGTTTAAAGTCGGAAACTTACCGGTAGTAGATAGTACAGACTTATTAATACTGTAACTCGCACTGCACAGATGTGAGGCTTAGGGCGACCATTTCTACATCTATTGTATATGGTTTTCATTTTACTGTTGAATCTAAAAACATGTTTTGTGCCATATTACAAAAAATGTCTCACTTTTTTTAAATTGCTGATGTGAGTATTTTGAAATTGTTTTCGAGGAATTGCACAGCTATTGGCCAAGAGCTAATGCTGCAAGAAAACTGAAAAGATTGGAAATGCCAGATAAAGAAACTTGGAAAGCCTATAAAATCAGAGTGCTTGCATATGCAGGTAAATTTGATAATTGAAAGTTACAATTTTTTTATATACCGGTACTGTAGTGTGTCTTCGAAAGTAACCAAACTGTAAGACAGACGACAGTATGCTTGAGGTATTAATAATATTGATTGCAATGCAGCAAAAATGTATGTAAAAACCTAGTTTGGCCTTGAAGTTCCACATTCCCATTTCCCCCTTTTCCAAGCTTACAGTATGTGTACAGGAACATTAAAGGGTAATGGCAATAAAAATTTTTATTGCTTTATCTGAAAGAGCATGAAAAAATAAGCCGATTGGCCGTTTACTGCTCTAGTCTGTCTCATCTGGTTCTGAAGTTAGACGCAAAAATGTGCAAAATATAAATTGCTGATTCAGCACAACGTGTGACGTCATTGGTAGGGTAAGTATGTTTAATGAATACTAAACTGAAGCATATAGCTCAGTTATTATGGGCCCAAATCAAATGAAATTTTGGATACTGATTGTACATGATGAGACGCATTGAAAAACACTTCTAATTTTGTTGCCAAGGTAACAATGTCGTTCCCAGGCCCCTTGCGCCAATTTTATAAAACAGCTTTATTCATGGTACTTATAAGAATAAAATAATGTCAGAAGTATGTGTACCATACCTATGCATGCCAAAAGTTTACTTGCATGATAATAATTCGAAAATGACATACACATAGATAAATGCAACTAGTTATTCAAAATCAGTGTAAGGGGCCTGGAAACGACTGCGTTGCCTTGACAACAAAATTAGAAGTATTTTCCCATGCATCTCATCATGTACTATCTGTATGCAAAATGTCATTTGATTTGAGCCAATAATAACTGAGCTATGCTTCAGTTTACTATTCATTAAACAT